CATATTAGAGTTAGGAAATACACTTGTTTGCATTCCCCTATATGTTTTTTAGATAATGATTCCCTATATGGTTCAACCACACGCGCAACAAACCAATCAAATCCATAATAGCCAACGGAAAAAACAGCAAATTGCGTTGGTTTATCTATAAACCATACAATTACATTACAATGCCAAGGCAAGCAACAAATCAGACTCATAATAATACCTTGGGCCTGGTCTACGGGCGCTTGCATCGGAAACAACGGTGCAGAACGTGTCCCATTTGCTTGTGGCTGCAGACCCTCGACGACTCTGCCAAGTCTTCACAATATTTTGGTTATATACTATTTCCTCCGTTTCAAATTATAAGTCATTCCAAGAATCTTGGAGAGTCAAAGCATCCCAAATTTGATCAAAATTATAGAGAAAATTATAAAGATTTATGACATCAAATATATATAATATGAAAATATAATTAATGAAGAATCTAATGATAATTAATTGACATCATAAATATTATTATCTTATCATATAAATTTAGTTAAACTTTGAGATAATTTGATTTTTTAAGATTCTTGAAATTACTTGTAACTTGGGACTGAGGGAGTACTAGTATATGATTGGAAGCGACGAGGGAGCACCACTTGACCCAAAGATAAGAATAGTGAAGACGCAGCTGGGCTGTCGGGGATCACCAACCATCGTTGCATTGCATTTGCATCTCCTCCCAAGTCCCGGTCAAGGTCGTCACCCTACCTACCGTCATCCTCTCCGGCGGGCGGCGGGCGCAAACTCCGTTGCTGCAAGCCTGCAAGCAGCAGGTGGGTACATCTTTCTGCTCCAAAGCATCAGGTTCTCTGTTGTCCACCTGCGGCCGCGGCCTGTAGGGCGAATCAGTAGTAGTTAGCAGTTCGCATGAGCCGTTTCAGATCTTGTTTTCACCTCAAGAACCGTTCGAGATTCAATGCTGCTCTGCGTTGCCTTGGATCGGCGTCTCACCAGTCACCACTGAAAGCTAGCTCACAGCCCCTGTGTAGATCGATAGATGCCACCAGTGTTTTTTTTTTATTGATTGGCTCAAGTCAATACTGTCTCAGCGTTTGTCGGTAGTGATTTTTTTGGGTGATTTGCTCACTGATCTTGCATATTTGTGTTGCAATTTAGGCTACTAGCAAAGTTAAACAAAATTTGTGATGCCATCCCATGGTCTCTCTTCATTACAAGGCGTAGAATCTATAGAACTATTTTGATGTATAATATGCCTATGAAATTCTCTTAGGGATTCCTAGCGCCGGACGTCCGGACGGACGCCCGTGCCAGCACCCCATTTCCCACAACTACATCCATTTTCCGCACCCACGTAAGGGCCCACGCCACCCGGACCGCACGCGTCGCCCGCCCGATCGACAGCATGCGGAGACCCCTCACGCCTCCTCCGCTTCCCACGTGCATGTAGGTGGGGACCGTCTGCGCCCACTCAGTGGTGCCCCAGCATCTGCGACAGGCGCTACGACAGGTGGTCCCATTGCAGCATGTTCAACACCAAATCTACTTTTGCAACATCCAGACAAAACACTTGCAATATACATTCGAAACAGTTGAAACACTTTCAACATACGTATGAAACAATTGCAAAAACAACTAAAAACACTTGAAAGCCATTGCAAATGCATGCAACATCCAGATCTACTTTTGCAACATACATATAAAACACTTGCAACATACGTATGAAACACTCGAAACATACGCTTGCAACATGCATGCTATGCAACATCCAGATGAAACACTTGAAATTATGTCTGAAACACCTGAAACACTTGAAACATATACTTGCAACATGTGTATACAGCCATTGTAACATACACATCATAACACTTAAAAACATACTTTTGAAACACCTGAAACACTTGAAACACGACACCTGGATAACTGCGGTTGCCAGCAAGCGGCGCTTGGACGCCGTGGAGAAGGAGGATGGCGGCTGGCGGGCGGCTGGGTGCGGTGAAGAACGCCGTGTGCGGAGCAGTGCCCGTGGACCACGCCGCATCGCCGCGGAGAACTCGGTGGCTAGCGGTGAGTGGTGGTAGGGAGATAGGAAGCCAGTGGGCGGCGCTTAGGCGCGGTGCAGCACGCTGCCACGTTGCGCCCGCGGCGGTGCGAGTGCGGTTGCTGTGGAGCATTCCGCGGTTTCTAAGTGTGGGTTCGAGAATAGATGTAGGCGCGGCGATGATTCGAGGGGAAAGTGAGAGCGGAGATTTTTTTCGAGCAGATGGGTGCGACCGTGCGGATGGCATTGTTGGGCCATTCAGGCAGGCGGACGCCCTACCCACAACATTTCCGTTTCCCTTACCACATGTCCACGTGTATCATCAATTGTTCCAACGTTAATATCATATTAAAAAGAATTGCAAAATAAAATCTATTGATGTGACTTTTTTATATCCTGAAACAGCCTATATAACGAAAGGAAAATAGTGGAACAAAAACATTTTTGTTTAACAAGACACATTTGTCCTCCATGATTCGACAAAAATTGAATGCATATATACAGGAACTTAATCTAAAAATATATATATTCAAGAAATCTTATTCTCTAGTGAAAACATAGTAATTTTGCCTCAATTTTTTTATATAATATAGCGGATCTAAGAAAAAGCTTTCCCCAGTTAATATATTGCTCCGGAACAGCAAAGAACTTGTTCAACAATGGATAGGAATTTTACAAGGTTTTACAAAGCACAAGATTTTTGCCTCATTTATTTATTCTCCCAGCTTTTCCTCTGGGCTGGGCTGAGCTCACCCTCCCTTCACGCGGCCCACATTCCCTTGACTCCAACCATTCCTATGACGGGCCCATCTCTTGCGCCGCCGGCGCTACTGCAACCCGTCGTCGCTGAGTGGCCGCCGACTTCACGCCGCCGGCGAGCGGATAGAGCTGCGCTGCGCAGCCTGCAGCCCTGCACTCGTGCGGCGCTTACGTGATGCACAACGACGGCGCTAATTTGATTTCATCCGATTTTTGATTTTTTTTATTTTTTATTAGAAAGACAATCTCTTATAGGTCATCTCTTCATCTTCAACATTCATGTCTGTCTCGAGTCCACTTTCATCCCCTCTTATCTTCTTTACTACTGCAGGGTTTTTTTTTGCTGAGCGAGCACCTGAGCCGCGGCCCCATTTGTGTAGTCCGGCAGCAAGTATCCAGCAGGTGAGCACCAGATCTATCACACGAATCGCACGTCAACTTACAGATTAAATCTTCGCATCATTGCTTGATGCTTTGTTGTAGTGTTGTTGGTAACTGGATGGATTTTCTTGGACAATTGCAACCATGTTCCAGTTATTCCTACATGCCCATCTATGGATGACAGTTCATTTGTTAATGACATGCTGATTTTATTGTTCACTTCAATTCTCCCTCAATGGGACTAGTCATGTGCGTTTAGCAACATCTTGCATCAAATAAAAGTGAGAGGATTTGGATGTTTAGTATTTCCCTATGTGATAGTCGAACAGTCGAAGTTGACCGACACATGTTCAAGTAATTAGGCTAGCCTAGGTGTTCACCTAGTAAAGTTGAGAGTGCAGTTTTAGAAAAAAAAGTGCTATTTGATTCAAAAGAGAAACAGACTACCATTCAACGGGGGCGCTTTAATGGCATGGTGATTTACATAATGTGGAACATATGGAAGTAAAGGAATCGAAGGATTTTTTTAAAACAAATTCCGAACAGCGCAGCAAGTGGTCTCGAGAGCTAAGGAAGACAGTGATCAAAGAAAGAGGGCTCTAGCACCAACAGGGTACCTTTTGGGGGTGTTTTTTCTCCTTTCATGCTGCTTGGAGGGCGGGGGGAGGGACCTGCATGTTCGTCCTGGGATCTCTTTGCCATGCCTCTGGAAGGCGCTTGACCTACTGTATATAAATACTATTTCCTATCTTAGTTGAAAGGTAGAGCTCCTGCCATATCATTAAAAAAAAAGAAACAGACTACCATCTATTGTGTAGTAGATGCAGCCCCAGCCCTTGTGTTGTGGTGTGAAACAAGTTGTGTTTTGCAGTCAATGCTTTCCATATTTTTCACATTTAACTTCATTAAATATAATTTTATTCAACTGCTCCACTGTTATAAAAACTATTGCTAAATTCCGGCATTGGATACCTGGTCCCAGAAAAAAAGAAAGAACGGACTTAACTATGCAGGGGATATCACATCATTGTCAGTTGTCACTGATCCATGCATTTCCCAATATCATAGCATATCCTACCTGTTTAGTTTACAGTTTCAATTTCTTGACAGTTAGCAGTTTGGCAATTCCACCAAACTGGTCTGCACATACATTTCCTATATTTAAAGAGGTGTTAACATTCCTTTGAATTCTTCTGTAAATAAACTTTATAACTGTGCACTAGGCTTTCTTGGCCAACTTGTCACTGCATTTGCCATCAGGTTTGAGCACCTGGATGTGCTGCATGGTGCAACCATGATACTTTTGTCTATATTTTTAGTGCTTGCCTGACCACTGTTTCATTTTCCTCACAGATAATTTGATCTGAACTTTTTTTTGTGATACAGTATATTGATGACATTAAGGCATGTGCTAAACTCGTTGTATCATTCTTAATTTTTCTGTCATGATTTTGAGTAAAATGGTTCTACTTTAGAGGCCACATTGGAGAACTCCATGAGCCACTAACTATCGCCTATTAGATCTCAGGCAATGAAGTTTTTGCATCTATTTTCTTTTGTACTAACGCAGTGTCCTCTGTTGATTGGTATGATTGTCTTCACATCACCAAGCCTAGCATTTTTGTATGTAAATACAAAGAACAAGTTACACATCCATGCAGTAAGTATTAGAATTAAATATCAAAGAAGCCACAATTATCCAGGAAAACTGGTAGTTATGGCTCCATAGAAGAAATTGCTGTCTGGACGTGCAAATCAAACTCAAACCTGTACATTTCGATGACATTCATCATTATGTTCTGTAACAGGATTTTTTTTTTCTTCAGCAGAAATGGCAGAAGCAGTACTCCTTGCTCTGACAAAGATTGGTAGCGTTTTAGCAGATGAAACTGCCAAGAAAATGCTGTCCAAATTATCGGAAAAGGTTAATAATCTGAAGGATCTGAATGACAAGATCGAGTTAATAAGAATGCACCTGACAGCCATGAACAATGTCATACGTAAGATTGGCACAGTATACCTCACTGATGAAGTCGTCAAGGGTTGGATTGGGGAAGTGTGAAAGGTAGCCTATCATGTTGAGGATGTAATGGACAAGTACTCATATCACACACTTCAAATGGAGGAAGAATGGTTCCTGAAGAAGTACTTCATTAAAGCGTCACATTATGTCTTGGTTTTTAGTCAAATAGCAGAAGAGGTTATCAAGATTGAGAAGGAGATCAAGAAAGTTATAGAACTCAAAGATCTGTGGTTTCAGCCTTCACAGCTTGTTGCTGATCAGCTAATTGAGATGGAAAGACAACGTTCGCGCGATAACTTCCCACTACTCATTAAAGATGAAGATCTTGTGGGGATTGAAGATAACAGGAGAAAGCTCACCGAATATCTGTATTCTGATGAGCTTGACAGCACAGTGATAACCGTATCAGGCATGGGTGGACTTGGAAAAACTACCCTTGTAACAAATGTTTACGAACGTGAAAAAATCAACTTTCCTGCTACAGCATGGATGGTCGTGTCCCAGACCTACACGATAGAAGCTCTGCTTAGGAAGTTACTCATGAAGGTTGGTCGTGAAGAGCAGGTGCCACCAAACATTGACAAATTGGATGTCCATGATTTGAAAGAAAAAATAAAGCAAAAGCTCGAAAATAAGAAATGTTTGATTGTATTGGATGATGTCTGGGACCAGGAAGTGTACCTTCAAATGTCTGATGCATTCCAAAATCTTCAATCAAGTCGCATCATCATCACAACACGGAAGAATCATGTGGCTGCTCTTGCTCAGCCGACTCGTCGCCTTGATGTCCAGCCTCTGAGAAACACTCAGGCATTTGATCTCTTCTGCAGAAGGACTTTCTATAACAAGGAAGGCCATGCGTGCCCCAGTGACCTTGTCGAGGTTGCTACTTCTATAGTAGATAGGTGCCAGGGATTGCCACTAGCAATTGTATCAATTGCTAGCTTATTGTCTTCGAGGGCACAAACATATTACATCTGGAATCAAATTTACAATCAGCTTCGAAGTGAGCTATCAAAAAATGATCATGTCCGGGCAGTTTTGAACCTGAGCTACCATGATCTATCAGGAGACCTAAGAAGTTGCTTCTTGTACTGCAGCCTCTTCCCTGAAGATTACCCTATCCCACGTGAGAGCCTCATCAGACTTTGGGTTGCAGAAGGCTTTGCATTGAGCAAAGAAAACAACACAGCAGAGGAGGTGGCTGAGGGAAACCTCATGGAGCTGATCCACCGCAATATGCTGGTAGTACTGGAAAATGATGAGCAGGGAAGGGTGAGTACATGTACAATGCATGATATTGTGCGAGATCTTGCCCTTGCTGTTGCGAAAGAGGCGAGGTTTGGCACTGCAAACAACTATGGAGCAATGATATTGATGGGCAAGGATAAGGATGTTAGACGCCTATCGTCATATGGATGGAAAGACAGTGCATCTCTAGAAGTCAAACTTCCACGCCTTCGAACTCTAGTATCACTTGGAACAATTTCATCCTCCCCAAACATGTTATTGTCAATTTTATCTGAATCCAGCTACCTTACTGTTCTCGAGCTACAAGATTCTGAGATTACCGAAGTGCCAGTATCTATAGGGAATCTCTTTAACCTACGTTACATCGGCTTGCGTCGTACAAAGGTCAGATCACTACCTGATTCTGTTGAGAAGCTTCTGAACCTCCAGACTCTGGATATCAAGCAAACAAAAATAGAGAAACTTCCACGAGGAATCTCTAAGGTTAAGAAGCTACGACACCTTCTAGCTGACAGATATGCTGATGAGAAGCAGTCACAGTTTCGGTACTTCATCGGGATGCAAGCGCCTAAAGATCTGTCGAACTTGGTAGAACTTCAGACTCTTGAGACTGTGGAAGCCAGCAAGGATTTGGCTGAACAGCTGAAGAAACTGATGCAGCTGATTGATTGACAACATTAGTGCTGCTGATTGTGCAAATATTTTTGCCAGCCTATCAAATATGCCACTCCTTTCCAACTTGCTTCTTTCTGCAAAGGATGAAAATGAGCCACTTTGCTTTGAGGCACTCAAGCCAAGGTCCACAGGACTCCACAGGTTGATTATCAGAGGGCAATGGGCGAAGGGAACATTGCAGTGCCCACTATTTCGAGGCCATGGGAGACACCTCAAGTATTTAGCTCTAAGCTGGTGCCACCTTTCAGAAGATCCACTGGAGATGCTCGCTCCACAATTGCCAAACCTCACAAATCTGAGACTCAACAACATGCGTAGTGCAAATACATTGGTTCTTCCTCCAGGATCATTTCCCCACCTAAAGTTGCTTGTCTTGATGCACATGCCAAATGTCAAGAAGCTGGTGATTGGAAAAGGTGCGCTCCCATGCATTGAAGGTCTGTACATTGTGTCCTTGGCGGAGCTGGATAAGGTCCCTCAAGGCATTGAATCGCTTCGCACCCTGAAGAAGCTCTCTCTTGTGAACCTGCATAGGGGCTTCCTGACTGAGTGGAACAAGAGCGGAATGCATGATAAGATGCAGCATGTCCTAGAGATTCGTGTTTAGACGTGGCAGATATGTCCCTTCTGCACTACTTTTCTTCTATACTTGTAGCACTTGCAAGTTGCAACCCTCTCCAATAAGTACTCTGTCATTCACATCCTCGGCAGCTCCACATTCAATTTCATTGTCTTGGGGAATCTAACCGTGCTTCCTGTTCATTGTCTTGGGGAAGCTGGGTTCAGTTTGTGGTGCCTTTTCAGTTTCCCTCTCTTGGTTTTATTGTAAGGACATGTTGCATTTTAATTAAACTTTTCTATTCTGTCAATAATAACGCATTCAGTGTTTCCATCTCCAAGCATCCTTTGCATGAATAGATTATGTTTTTGTGTGTTGAAAGAGGTGTTTATATCCTCAATTCAGACAAATAGAGTTATACTAGTATCTGATGGACTATATAGGATCATTAGGGGTAGATCTAGCGGGTTGACTTCACTATTGCAAGTGTATAAACCATGGGAAAACTGAGAAGATTTAGAGAGAGAGAAGAAAGTGGAGAGCCATACCTTCGGGCTTGGCAGAGGAGGAAGAAAATCACCATGGTAGTGGCGACGCAGTGAGAGGCGACGGTGGTGCGGTGTCGTAGTCGAACGCAGTGCAGTGGAGGCGCGGCCCAGTGGCGACGGCGAAGGCAATGGCGCTTTTCCGTCGCTCACAGCGCACCCTTGATCGGTTAGTGTTAGGTGGGGAGTGGCAGCTGCGGTGAACCTCGTATCTCGAGCCCTAGCCCCACCTCCTATTTGTAGCGCTACGCGACGGGGGCCCACTAGCCAGGAGTACGGCTGGGCGCCCCCGATCAGGGCGCGAGTCAGGGTCCGACTCGGTCATTGGACCGAGCCGGGTGGAGATCAATATAACATTCTCCCCCTTGATCTCATCTTATGACTTAAAACTTAGTTCACTTTATCTTTATCCCATTCCATCACAGATTAGTGCATAGAGCATGCCTTGTCGTAACAGTTAGTACCGTCAGACTAACATCTACAATACACCTATCTGTTTTGAAACATATTCTCAATTAGGCCCTTAATATCCAGAAATCATAGGCTTTCCGTAAATCCATATCGACTGTGTGTTCTGTGGACGCACTGGGTGGTAAGCCTTTGGTAAGCGGATCCATAAGTACTTGATCGGTACTTATAAGCTCAAATGCTTTCAAAATAATTATGAATTTTCTCCTTTACAATATGTAACTTAATGTTAATGTGTTTGGCAGCACACTTGACTTGTTGTCATAGGAGTGATTTACTTTAAATGGTTATTGCTGTTGTCTACCATTGTAAATTTCAGGTACAAATTCCCTTAACCACTTTTGTCTGTCCTTGAAGCCTCATGACGAGCTATACTATGGATATACATCATTGATGATACCACAACTGTTTATTATGAGCTTTTCCACAATAAAAACTCCAATTGCGAGTGTTAGCAACTACTGTGGATTTCTCTACATATCTCGCCAAAGTTTAACATTTGTACCCACAACTATTTGAGAGTACTTATTCTTTCTTACTCAGCATGAGGCCTGTAATACTTTGTAAAATTGCAAGACATTCTTAACTCCATTCCAGTGATCTATATCTGGACTAGAGTTTTGCCAAAATATCCCGGACACGTGAACTACGCCAGGGTAAGTTCTTACTTGTTCACTCATTAAGCTTCCAACAGTTGAAGCATATGGAACCATGTTTATTTGATTAATCCCATATTGTTTCTGGAACACTGAAAATTCCCAAAACTATTACCCTTAACTATAGGAGCAGGCGTAGATTTACTCGCATGGATACTTTATTTCTTTAGAATCTTTTCTAAGTATGCTTTTGGTATAGTCCTAATACCCCTTTTCTTCTATCTCGGTGAATTTCAATTCCTAAAACGAATGACGCTTCACCAAGATCATTCATATTGAAACTTGAGGACAAGAATTTCTTCTTCTCCAATGGCAGATCAACATCACTACTGGTGAGTAGGATGTCATCTATACACAGGATGCGAAAAATGAATTTTCCATTTTAGAACTTTGCATAAACGCTATTGTCCTTCTCATTCTCTTTAAATCTAAACTTTCTTATTGTTTCATCAACTTCAAATACTACTGTCTAGAGGCTTGTTTTAACCCATAAATGGATTTCTACAGGCGGCATCCCATACGTTCTTTTTCTTTCCACAACAAAACCTTTGGGTCGTGCCATGTATATGCTTTCATACAAATCCCCGTAGAGGAATGCCGTCTTTATATCCATCTGATGTAACTCTAAATTATAATGTGCCACTAAAGCCATTATGATTCTTATATCTTTCTACGTCCCTTTGGAGCCATATTTTGTCTTATAGACCCATTTACAGCCTACTATTTTGGCTCCATTAGAAATTTCTTCTAAGTCCCAAACATCGTTGGTATTCATCGATTTCATTTCATCTTACATAGCTGTTTTTCTCATTCTTTGAGACATTCTAGGGCCTCATCTACTGGCACTTTTTTCATATGGGGCTATTGTTGGTCTTCATTGCTAAGAGACAATTGATTCTACAGGCTCCTGTGTAAGAAGATCCTTGTTTACATTTTTCATCTTCTTTAATGAGCTAACAACATGTGTTGTATAAGTCATACAGCATCAACAGGTATTAATAAATTTATTCCTCCTGAATCACTGGGGTGGGCGCGCAGTCCCACTTCTCTTCAAGGCTTAAGTCTCTACATACCATGCTCCCTCATATTATCCCATCTTCTATAAAGATAGTGTATCTTCAAATTTCTTATTTGGATTTAGTCTGTTAAAACCTCATATGGCGCTTTAAGCACCACCTTAACATCTTTTAGGCTCATCTAGAATGAATTCTGGCTGATTACGCTATCTTCCTATCGGAACCGTAAAAGGTCCAGGAATTTAGCTATTTCTCTGCTTAGAGATATCGTTATTATGACCGTTGTACTCCCTCGACGATCACACTCATCTTTTATAGATCACTCTTGCCCTCAATGGACACTATGCATCGCATTATCTGAAGTATAGGGAAGTATCTTTCTTAATTGTTTTTCTTAATTGATCTCACAATTCTCTCCCTTGAAATGTGGCATAAACTTTACTGCCATAATTTCGAAAACTATTCAAAAACTCTTGTGAATGAGGAGACATTTATGACTTACTTCATTCACATGATGCAAACAAAGTTATTCCTTAATTCGTATGGGAGTACATTTTCCTCGTTCCACTTCGTGAACTCAACAAGGTCCTTAGGGGTACTACTGCAAGTCATGCTCACATGTCCTTCTTATCATTTGGTTCGTATGTAACTTCCTTTTGTCCTTAAACTTATTTCATGTCAAAATGGTACTACAGGGAAATATTTGAATTGTTCATTTTCTAATTGATGTGCTCAGCTCAGTTGATAGACTCAACCTGTCAAGCCTTAACCTTTCCCTTTCCTTTCGATCTACGTCTAGACTTCATCTTGGTGGTCATATTTTACATTCAAAATGTGTGTTCCACCATTACTAGATTACTCCGCAACGAGCTACTCAATTAGAGTGCCCGCATGCGTTTGTACGGAGTCAGATAACCGACTCTCCACTTTCTTCAGATTTAGCAACGGTATGATTTTGGGATTGCTCCCCTTATGGCCCTCAATCCATTGAGTGCTTAATGACCATGACACAATAGAATTGCACGATCAATACTATGACAGCATAAGAACTATCCCAAACTTCTCTCGCTATGCGGGATACACAAAATACATGAGTCACAAAACTTCTTCCGCCATGCAGGATTGACTAGCATAAGTACTATGCCAAAACTTCTCCCCATGCGGGATAATTCCCTATAAGGGACATAAATACCAGAATTAGATCTCAGGACACAGGAAGTGTTTGAACATCCAATACATCAAACTTAGAAATAAATCCAAATACTCTGCAACATACATGTTTAATCCAACGTTGGTCGAATTAGACATGCTTCTGACTTATTGCAACTCTTATCATAAGGATGGATAATATTACTGTTTACAATAACGAAAACTTGGTCATTACGACTAAAAACATTCTTCTACCTGAATTTCACATCACCGTTGGGTAGAAATGGAATTAATACATGAAAAAACTCATGAATAAATTTATAACATTGTTAACAATATCATAATTAACTTGAAAAACATATAACTACCCTTCAAAAATTAAATTCTCCTATTGGTTCGAATTTAATTAGAAGATAATCAACATCATTGCATCAGAAACGTGAGAATAAAATACATTCTACTAGTTTAGGAGCATTTCTTGATCCTTATCTATTCTCTGAAAAAATTGATCACACTGGTGCGAAATTTATCAGAGATTTAAACTTCAACCTTAAACTCATAAATAAAATTATAATATTGTTATCATCAACCGTGGTCAGAAAAATAACAATACCATAATTTAACTTAAACAAAAAAAGGCTACTCCTCCAATTTAATTAGAGGATAAAAATAATCATAATTTATTGAATAAATTTAACTACTCTTCAAATTAAATCCTCCTGTTGGTTCGAATTTAATTAGAAGATAATAAACATCAACTGAGCAGCAGAAACATGAAAAGACTTGAAAAATAATTATTCTTAATCAGAAGCATCTCAGTGTACTCATCTGCTCTCTAAACAAATTATCCCGTTGGTTCCAATTTGAGCAGAGATTGAAAACTAGACTAAAATCATCAAAATTGCTTCTGAAACAGAATAAAACTTATTAAAAACGTTACTGTGCAATCCGGCCCAGTGAAAAAAACAGCCCAAGGCCCATACGCGCGTGCGGCGCTCCCCGTGCCCAGGCCGCAACCTGGGCCTATTCCGGGATTGTCTTTGCCCGCCTGGGCCGAAAGGCGGCCCGGCCGATCCTAGCCATTCGTCTTGATCCGACGGCTCTCCGCGCTAGTCGCGTGGACAAAAACGCATCATGGCCGGTTCTCTCCCTAACCCTAGCTTTAGTCTCTTCCTCCCCTTCTATCTCTTCTCTCGGTGAAGACTGAGCGGTGC